TTTAGGGTTTAGGGTGGTTTAGGGTAAGAGGCATGCATGTGAGTGGTTGCAGAAAAGAAAGCTGCTTCGGGCAGGAGCCCGCGGCGGGATCTTCACAGAAGAAGGTCGGCAAGAAGCGCAAGAAGGATGTGGACGGAGGTGCTTGATTCCCAGATTTAGGGCTGAGGGCCCTGGAGTTTGATGAAGGTTTCGGGTTCAGGATGGCAGAAGCCCTGACAAGATTCATTTGACCTGGTTTCTGTGTTTGGCATGTCGGCGTTCAGGCACCCATTTGGCCACAAGAGGGCCTGCTGATGCTCATGATGTCGGCTTTCAGGTTGGGCAATCACACCCACTTGGCCACAAGAGGGGCTGCTGATGCTCATGATGTCGGCGTTTAGGTCGGCGAGTCACACCCATTTGGCCACAGGCAGGGCTGCTGATGCTCATGATGTCGGCCTTCAGCTCGGGCAATCACACCCACTTGGCCACAAGAGGGGCTACTGATGCTCATGGTGTTGGGGTTCAGGTCGGGCAATCAAACTTATTGATTTATTGGACACAGGAGCAGTTTAGATTGCTTCAATCATAAGATGTTGGGTACTCAAAAAGCGTTTGTTTGCAATGTATCACGATTAAGCTGAATAAACCATGCTTTCATGTCTTGTGCTTCTGCGCACGAGTTTCAGTGTCGTGGACAGGTGCGCTTTTGGGGGCCTGCACCTATCGGAAGCGCTGAGAAAAGTGTGGCGGACCGCTTCTGTCGAGCTTGCCATGCTCAGACTCCGAACCGTCACCCTGATCCCGAATCCTCTTGAAAGACGTTAGCATTCCTGATGTCCGGGATGGTGACGATGATGACGCGGGCTGTGAAATAAGGTTGTGATAGCCTCTTCATGTGCCGGCGCGATGTCACTGCAATGCTAACGCAGCGGCAAGCAAAGTGTTTCACACAACCAAGTCGCAGCTTTCGTCAGCATTTTGAAGCCAAAGTTGAGTCCTCCACCTCTATTCAATTCCTAGAAATCCTGCAGAGCTCCCCCTGCGGTAGCAAAGCCAGGCTCTCCGAGCTTCAGCAGCCCAAGGAGGTCTCTCCCCAAAACCCTAAACCCTAAACCCCTAAACCCTAAACTGTAGAGTAAACCGTAAGAAACCTTTTCCTCGAGATGCCTCGGACTTGAAATGCTTGATCAGTACCCGACCTTCCATCTTCAAGCAGGTAGAGACAGATGCGTCTGTGCACCTTAAACCCTATAGTGTCCATAACTTTAGGTCGCTCACCTGCCACCAGCCCTCATTCAAGGGCGTGTAAGGCCTACAGGAGTCTAGGACGATGCACAGCCCTTACTTACCGCCTAGCCCAAACCGCGCACTGAGAACCCGCAACCATGAAGCCAAACTTAAAACCCGGCCCTAAACCCGACAAGCCCTTCAACCGCTGCTACTAAAGCCCAACAAACCTTTTAGGGGTGTAGGGTTTAGGGGCCCTACCTATAGTCTGCATTGTAGTTCTTTTTTGGGGATGCCTTATAAAATCCTTAACATATATATTTGGTTAAGCCCGAAAAAGGAACTACAATAGAGACTATAGGTAAACCCTATAAACCCTTAGAGGGAAGCCATGCCATGCTTCGAGTTCGCTGCACGCCGTCCTCGGGCCCCGAGGCCTGGACCTTCTCCTGCGGCCTTTCTCTCTTCGGGCATATAGGGCTTAGGGTTGAGGGTTTAGAGTTTGGGGGAGAGACCTCGTTCAAAAAGGTTTAGGCTGTTGGGATTTAAGTTTTTCTTGGGTTGAAGGTTTAGCCTTGTTGGGCTTGGGAATTAGAGCAATTTTGGTTCATTTAGGGTTCAAAGGTCTAGCTCGCCGTCTTTTCGTGCAAGGATTTGAGACTTGGGTGTTCTTCTGGAGCAGGTCTTCTTGTAAGGTTTTCTTGGTTTAGGGTTTAGGGTATGTGCTACTCTAAACTGAGGCCCCAGAGGACACATTGGACATGCTGGAACACCTCCCTGCACATTTGCATGGCTCTCGTCTTTCATCAGTTGTTGAGGTGGTTGTGTAGCTTATGAGCTTGTGTTTCGTATTTTTTTTGTTGCGGTCGCGGTTTGGATGGAGGCTTCAGGAGCCGAGGTTAACCGCTGGCTTCAACAAGCCTAAGAGAGTCTGAGCTTACAACATAAAATCTAGGCCCTCGAAGCTCAAACCTACAAGCCCTGTAAACAAGCCTTAAACCCTGTACCCTAAACCCTAAACTCCTAAACCCTGTACCCTAAAGCTTAAGCAGAAAGCCGCCGAAGCCGCTTGGTTTGCTCGCAGTCCCGGCTCCTCCGCGCCTAGCGACTGGCTGAAAACCTGCGTAGCAGCCCTGAGGCGTCCCGCTGTGGTCTTTCGTTTGGGTTCAGGATTTGGGTAGTTCTTTAAATTAGGGTCCCTTGTCGAAGCATTGGAAACCCAGGTTCA